AGGAAGCGGCCTCCTTGAAGAACCTTGTGATCCAATCCAAAGAGACGGTGCATCGCCAGGGCGAGCTCCTCCTCAGCCTGCAGGGGGCGCTAGAAGCCAGCCAGAAAGAATGCCAGGCACTACAGGTGAGGAGAGGAAGGAGCCTGCATAGAGGGATGGTGTGAGGGAGAGGGAATATTTGAGGGGGGAATCATTGCCTGACGTCGTTTCTCCATCCTTAACCCACACAGGAGAAGGCAGCTGAGGAGAACTGGACCCTTCTTTCCAAGCTCAGAGAGCACGTCTCCCAACTGGAAGCGGAGAACCGGAACCTGCACTGTGAGCGGGACCAGTTGGAGTCCACGGTGCAACGCTTCCGCAAGGAGTTAGACGCCAGCGGCACCACCGTCCTCTCCCTGAGCAGGCAGCTGCGAGGGCAGCAGGAAGCTCAGGCCTACCACGGGGCCTTTTCCCTGGAGACCGTGAAAGGGAATAGCAAGTGGCTGAGGTTCTACACGGGCTTCGACGAATACCCGCGCTTCGTGGCCTTCCTGGGTTTCCTCCTGGACGGCAGCGAGCAAAGGCAGGAGAGTCCGGAGCGCAGGTGCCACAGCGCCCTCAGTCCCGACAACCAGCTCTTCCTGGTGCTCGTCCGGCTGCGGCTGGGGCTGCTCCTCCAAGACCTGGCCTTCCGATTCCACATCTCGGAGTCCACGGCCTCCCGCTACTGGCTCAGCTGGACGGAACTCATGGAGCGGAAGCTGAAGCAGGTGAGTGGATTGAGCGCCAGAGAGCTCTTCCCTCCCCTCCCCAATCGGAGAGGGCATGTTGGGGTTAACCAGCAGTTCCCGAGAAAAGGGAGGGAAGCTCACAAACTGCCAATTTACGGTTTTCTCACCCCCCCCAAAAAAAAACCCTTGGTCAAGAAAAAGGAAGTAACAGTGATGGGAAATTTCCACTTTCGGAAGAGGTGGGGGAATGTACTAGATTTTATTTACTTCATGTACACCCCCACGGGAGGAGCCCAAAGTTGCTCACAATGTTCTTCTCTCCTGTACTTTATCCTCACAACAACCCTGTGAGGTAGGTTAGGCTAAACGTGTGAGAGTAGCCCAGCAAGTTTCCATAGCTGAGTGGGAATTTGAATATGGATCTTCCAGGGCCTAGCCACACTGCACCAGCTGGCTCACTCCTCTCTCTTTCTGACAGAGAGAGCAGCTGGTTAGCAAATGTGGTTACTGACCAGTGATTTGCAAGAGTTCTGCTCTTCCCATGTGCTGCCACCTGTTGGTTCAGGTGCAGAAGTGCACTTTATTACACACATGGACCTTGTGTGCTGACTGAGAACAGTATTTGGAGTCTTGCAGTCTTTTCTTGCAAGGCTGAGCTCCTAGTTCCAAAGTTGTGGTTGAGTTAGAAATGACATTTCCTTCACTTATACCTCTCTCCTTTCCTCCATTTTGGCCTCACAACCACCCTGTTAGGTACATAAGAACATAACAGAAGCCAATGTTGGATCAGGCCAATAGCCCATCCAGTCCAACACTCTGTCACACAGTGGCCAAAAAGATCAGGTGCCATCAGGAGGTCCACCAGTGGGGTCAAGACATTAGAAGCCCTCCCACTGTTGACCCCCCCCCAAGCACCAAGAAGACACAGCATCACTTGCCCCAGAGCCCCTATCTATACCTTGCC